GAGAGAATTGGGATTGTTCAGCCTGGAAAAAAGAAGGTTTTGGGGTGACCTCATTGCAGCCTTCCAATACCTGAAGGGAGCTGACAGGAAAGAGGGAAAGAAACTGTTTGCAAGGGCCTGGAGAGACAGGACAAGGGGGAATGGCTTCCTAATGACAGAGGCAGGACATGATTGGATAATGCAAAAAAAATTCTTCCCTGTGAGGGTGGGCAGGCCCTGGCAGGGGAGCCCAGAGCAGCTGTGGCTGCCCCTGGATCCCTGGCAGTGCCCAAGGCCGGGCTGGGCAGGGCTGGGAGCAGCCTGGCACAGTGGAAGGTGTCCCTGCCATGGCAGGGGTGGGACAAGATGAGTTGTAAAGTCCCCTCCAGCACAAACCACTCTGGGATTCTGTGAAATCAACCCCGTCTCCACTTCCTTCAGCTCCAGGGCAGAGGATGTACAGGACTCTGACATGTACAGCTGCAGCATGGAACAAGCTCTTGTTTATAATTTGGCATACTTAATATTTTATGATAAAGCAACCAATGCTATGGAAACATAAACATGTCCAGATATGTTTGTCAGACAAACCTGAGTAGAATTTCATACGGAAAAACACTGCTCTGGAGCACTTGACACTTTTCAAAGGTCTGTTATAAACAATGGAAGTTTCGGTTTACTTAAAATTATTAAACATCTTTTCTAATGGAAAAGTATTAAGCAACTAAAACCCCCGAGTTCCTCATCAGCTTTCAAGCACAAGGCCACTGCAGCTACAAGAAATAAACATTCACATTTCCCAGATATTATTTATGGTTCTAAAAGAGACATCTGCACCGACATGCAAGGAATAACTTTGGTGTCAGACACTGCATTTCTTGCTCTGCACACTGCATTTGAAGATTTGGATCTGTAAACACGTTTTGTGAAGACACAAGCTCTGCCTGGTGTCACTGCAGCCGGGCACAGGCTGAGCACGGTGCTGCCACCACCACCCCTACAACTCACAGCACCCAGTGACACCTCGGCAATGCTCTGCTGCACAACACCGAGGCGTGTGCATAACTCTCACTTTGAGGAAATAAATACGGGAGAAAACCAACAGAACTGTTGCCCTGCTTGACGAAAAGGCAAAACGACAGGGCTGGGACAGGGACGGCGCTGCTCAATGTCACACTCCACACGCTGTACAAGTGACACGTGCCAAAGCCCTCAGCGTGTCACGCTGCCTATTGCTTTTAATAAACGCAGCCCCTGGCACCGGGAGCGCGGAGCAGCGGTGCACGGAGCGATTCCCAACCCACCGGGGCAGCGCAGCCGGAGGCGGCCGAGGTCGCGGCACGCCAGGAGCCGGCCGTGCCTGCCCGCCGCTCATTCATTCCCGCCGGAGGCCGCCCAGATTGCCTACGGAGCGCACATTTCCCACGGAAACCTGTTACCTTCAGCACAGGGAGTAGCCAGAGGCCACACGCGCCCGGACCGCGGTAAGCCGGGGCCGGGCCGGGGCGCAGAACCGGGAGCGGGCCCGGCACGGGTCCGAGCCCGCGGCCAAGGTCACCTTGCCAGGCCCGCGGCCGCCGGCTCTACCGGACGCCGGGGCCAGCGATGAGGGCGGATCGTCCGGACACCCTGAGCCCCTCCCGGGCTCACAAGCGCTCTGAGGCGAACCAGGGGCGCCGGGGGACAGTGGGCCTCGCGCGGCGGGGACACGCCGACGGCCGCTCTCCCAGGCTCGGGGAGCCCGGGGGAACCGCCGCCGCCCTTCCCCGGGCCCTCCCGCTCCGCCGTGTCCGCACCGCCCTTACCCAGCTTGACGGCGGAGTCTGCCACACACCGGTCCCACTTCCTGCCCAGGTCGCCCTCCGACGCCATCTTGCCCGTCCCCTCACCTCCTCCCCCGCGCAACTCTCGCGAGACCTGGTGCTCCACCTATCGCCCGCGCCGGCAGATCTCGCGAGATGTCGTAGCCGTTGCCATGGTAACCAACTGGAGGGTGTCATGGCCGCCGCGCCCGACCTTGGGCTCGGCCCAAAATCCCCTCTTTCCCCGTAGGAGCGGGCCCAAACGCCATTTCCCCCCGTAAGACCGGGCTCGCCACGGCCCGGACTCCGTCTCTCCGTCTACAGCTCCCGCTGTGTCCTTGTTAGTCCTCGTCTCCCTCAGGCTATGGCAGCATCCCTCCCTCCTCGCAGGCGCCCGGGCTGGGCCCGCGCCCGCCGCGCCCCTGCCCGCAGGGCTCTCGCCTCATCCATGGTAAGAGCCGGGCTGTGCTGCGGGGCCGAGTTTCTCGCTGCAGCGTTGTGTACAGCACTGGACACACTCTCCCGTGTAGGTTTGCCCTGTCCCACATCCCGCACAGCTCCTGCGTCCCCTCAGCAGCAGGAAGAACACTCCGGGAGGGTGGCACAGCTCTGGAACTGGTGCCCAGGGAGGGCGGGGAGTCCCCCTCGCTGGAGACATTCCAAACCCACCTGGACACATTCCTGTGTCACCTGCTCCAGGTGTGCCTGCCTTGGCAGGGAGGTTGAAATGAATGATCTCCAGAAATGCCCTCCAACCCTCATAATTCTGTGATTTTTACTCTCTGGCCTCGGCTGCTCTTCAGGGCCTGAAATGAGATACAGGTGTCAATCCCTATCAAAATCCCAGGAAGAGCAATCGAGGCCCCCCACATTCTTGTTTATTTGAGAAAAGGAGCCAAATCATTTCAGCAAGATCATTCAGTCCTGTTCAAGAAGTTATTCCACACAATAGGTTGATAATGAGAATCACAGAATGATTTGGGTTGGGAGGAATATTAAAGCTCATCCAGTGCCATGGCAGGGACACCTTCCACTGTCCCAGGCTGCTCCAGCCCTGCCCAGCCCGGCTTTGGGCACTGCCAGGGATCCAGGGGCAGCCACAGCTGCTCTGGGCACCTGTGCCAGGGCCTGCCCACCCTCACAGGGGGGTTTTCACCCCTGTATATATATCTGTTTCCTAATTTTAGAGGAGGTGGTTTTGGGGAGAGTTCCCACTGCCTTGAGGGGTTTCAGCCCCTCCTGCAGCCTGCTACAGCTTTGTGGAGCCAGCAAGGACCCTGGATGTCTCCAAACCTGCTAAGATGAATTCTGGTGTTGCAAACGGTGTGTAGGCTGCCTGGAAGGCATTCTCTAGAAGCCTTGTGAAAAAACCCCGGGTGTTTGTCAAGTGCTAATGTCCCCATTCACACTGGGAGGCAATTTTAGCTGTGATTACTTGGTTTGATTTCTTCAAGTTCAATTTGCTTTATCGAGGTGGAGGAGGCTCTGCTGCTTCATAAAACTGGGAGTTCTTTTGCAAGTCAATTACAGACTAAAGCCACAAACAGAAGTGAAAAATTCTTGAAGTTGGCAAAAATTTCATTAAGTTATTGTTGGTATAAGTCTTTAATTGATCTTAAAAGTACAACTGGTTTTGATCTAGAGTCACAATGGAAGGTTTTACTTTTCATTGGTTTGGTTCAATTCCTTCACATATCACAGAACAATCACAATTAACCATTATTTTCTCTTCCTCATAAAATCTAAATGGCTTTTAACAACTTATCTTAAAAGGCACAGTTTAAGCTGAGCCCCTGGAGGTTCAAGAGGTTTCCCTGGAGAAGGCAGCCCTTGTTCTGGAAGGGGATCTTCCTTTGTCTTCCTCCCCCTGCAATTTGCTCAAGTCAGTCTGCATTGCTGCATAGTTGGTATCCAAAATAGAACCATGCATCGAGTTACTTATAAAAATACCAACATGATCCAGCAGTTTTTTCCCCAAACAGCTACAGAAGTGCTTTCTGAAACTGCCCCAGCGGTGCCAGCCCCACCCTCCTGTTTCCAAACAGCTCTGGAAAATATCATGAGGGGAAAGATAACTTGAAGGCTCCAAAATAATTCTTTAATTTTCATCCTGAAAATTAAATTCCAGAAGGCAGTGTTTAAAACCAGCCCAGAAATGTGGTCTTCTGTTGGCAACAACAAATGCTCAGTGCAGGCCAGTGTAGTCTCACTTCACACTTACTCATTTTCAGGCTGCTGGGCTCCCTGGAAAACGCTGGGTTTTGGGATGGAGGAAGCACTGGTGAGCAGCTGGATTGTGAGGCACTTCATAAAGGGTTGTGTTGCTGTGTCTCAATGGATCCTGACAGCCTCACCTCAGGACCTGGTGCATTAAACCCTTTCCAAGGGGATGGAATAGTTCAGGGTAATTGTTTTGAATGTTCAGCTTCCTTTGGAGAAATCACTCTGCTGCTTTTAAATCCCAGAGTCACTGAGTGATCAGAGGGGGCTCTGGAAAATGTTATCCATTAAGGATCTAGAGCACATTCTCTGTACCCCTTCCCCACCCCAGGGAAGAATTAAGGCAGGAGGGAATGTGTCCAAAGACAGGCTTTTCTTTTCATTGCTATAGTTACTTGGCAGTTGGACCCTTGCAGTGCAACATCAAGTATTTATTATTGTGGGGCTCCAAGGTGATGTTTGGAACGTGCGGTTTGCAAAAACCTTCTTTGCATTTTACAGCCCAGCATGTGCTGTCCCAGGATTCCTTCCCTGCCTTGTGCTCTCCTCTCCTTTCTTTCCAGTAAGTAAGTGTATGAATAAATGGAGGAAATGAAGCCAGGAAGCTTCAAAATGAGCCCTGTATTTCTCTGGTGGAAGTCACCTTCTAGCTGAAGTAGGTTCAGCCCTTGTATATCCCCAGTTTTGTTAACAGTACACCTGGCTGAGTCATTAATTAAGTACTGCTCACTAGGAGTTGGACACTGGCTGGGTTTGCACAGAAGGCATCAGATAAGGCAGAGGACTGGGGATCTCAGGTGAATAAGTACCATTATTATTCTTCAAAATTGCTGCTTCCTTGGTGTCCATTGGAAGGTCCCTGCAGAGGGCACACCCAGTGCTGTGTCCAGTCCTGGGCTCTCACCACAACAAGGACCTGGAGGGCTGGAGCGTGTCCAGGGCAGGGAACAGAGCTGGGGAAGGGCTGGATGGGCTGGGAGGGCTTTTCCAGCCAGAAGGGTTCTGTGGTTCCGTAGCTGCATTGGAGGTGAGGAGCTCCTCTGGAACTGCACCAGCTGGAATTCAAACCCTTTTCAACAGAACAGCTTCCTTTCAGCTGTTACCTCTGGCTTGTCCATAGAGCAGGATGAGTTTTGGTTTCAAAAGTTCCCAGCAAGTTTTCTTTAAACCTTGAATCTTCCCCAGCATGAGAATATCACCTCTTATCCTATTTTTTCAAAGACTCCTAAAGCATCCCTTGTGTCATTTCCCCACTGGATACTAATACACTCTTGCTCTCCTCTTTTCCAAAGAATACACATGCAGCTTCTCCCATAGATTTAAATAACATGAATCACCTCCCACACATATATTTTTTATTTATTTTTCTGCCAAGATCTGCACAGGAAGGCAGCAGTGTAGGAGTTATCTGCTTGTAATGGTTGACACAGCCTCAGTGTGGGCCCCCACTCCCTGTTTCCTGTACTTCCAGAACAATTCTTTCATGTTACAGAGAGCTCAGACCTGGGTGGGAAGCTCCAGATCTCAATCTCCATCCAGTGTGTTGGGTTTTTCCTCCAAACATAAGCCACATTCACCAACAGACACTGATGCTTCTTTCTCTCTTTGAAAACCTTTTAGCTATCTGAGCAACAACACCAACAAAAAAAAGTCTGAGGAGAAAGAAACCCCTCCTCAGCAGGGCTTTGCCCTGAAATGGGAAAGGTGCCAGCAACTCCATTAAGTCTCCTGTGCTGTCCTTATTGATTTTCTGTGGATGGCAGTCGGATGCTGTGGGGTGAGCAATCCTCCCCTGCATCAGGAGGGACAGCTTGTGCTGCAGTGCAACATCCCTCAGGCTTCCCGTGGGGATCCCATCCACGTCCATGGGCCCTGTGCTGCTGCTGGGGGATTTCCACGCCACTCTGGCTGGATTCAGTGTGTGGTGCTGCTGCTTCCAGCTGTCAGGTATGGCTGTTGAAGCAGAACTTGGAGAAATGGGACAAGATGTGTCACAGCTCCTTGTGCTAATTCTGCTCCAGGCTGCTTTTACTGTGAACATCAAGTTTGCCCCAAAAAGCTCGGCAGGAAAGCACTTGCATGGAAACACTGACCCAAGCTTTTGCCAACTCTGAAATTCCAGGCAAAAGCAGTGCTCTGACATTTTGTGTCTTTATTTTCTGTGTACTATTTTGTGATCATTTTTTAGAATAGTGGAAAGAGAAAACTTGTGCTGTATTGATGAGTTTTTCTAATGAATAATCCCATGAACAAGTGCTGGTTTTTAGCCTTTTAGTATGTTTTTCCATTCGTCCATGTCTCTGGCTAATTCCATACAGATTCTAGCTACTGAACCGTGACCATTGTATTAAGAAAGAATCCAGGCAGGCCCTTACAATTCTTTTGGCTGGTATATTAGCAGGCTTCAAATGAAGTGCAACGTGTCAAGGAAAAAGTAAGGGAATGGAAAGTTTTGTTTCTTTCTGCTATATTTAATCAGCTTCTCCTTGATTCTTTTTAAATGAAAAGCCACAGACATTATTGCTAGTTAATGACCAAGCTTGACAAGAATGCCCTCAACACTCTCTTTGCTCAGGCTGAAGACTCTCGAGTTTTCTGAGCTGAAAGTACAAAGTTAAAGGAGCAGCTGCAGGAGGAGCAATGACCAGTGTCCCAGGATATGCAGCTAAGTGGGATGTGCTGGAGCACGAGGGCTCCCAGCAGTCCTGCAGTGTGTGGACACCTTGGTTTAGCCTTTCCATTAACCAGAGGAGCAGATCTGCTTGGGTGCTGGTGGAGTGGAAAAAAGTCTGGTTCAACATTCTTAGTGCGGGGAGGGGAATGCCTCAAACCTCACACTAAATATGTTGTTTTTCATTAAACCTGGTATTTGGAGTTACTCATCAGTTCGTGCAGGAAATGGGGAAACTCTAAAAACTTTTAAATTCCAAGAATACACTCAGCAAAGCTGCTTTGGATTCAGGATGAGGGACTTTTTATTGTTTGTGTGCTATTTTGACACTGTGTACAAAGATCTCCATAGTGAGAATTATCTGTGGCTTGAACATAGAATTCCAAGACATTGGGTAGTGTTGTAGGTACCTTTTTCCTATATTAGTTTCCAAGAAACACTTGGTTTTCAGCCTCAGACCAAGTGATGCTGCTGTTTTACTGACTCTGACTAATAAAACCCAGCAAGCTAAACTTTACCATTGCTGGAAGACTCTTGCAGCAATAAATTCAATTTATGAGAACTCCTAATAAAAGTTTACGTATCTTTCAAGTGCCATGAAAGAAAATGGGCAATCTGACCAAAAAAAGAAAAAGAAAAAGTCAAGATGTTTCTTTCTTTATTACAAAAAATGACTATTCAGTGAAGCATGAAGGTTTTCTCTCAGACCTTGTTCCTCAGCATGTTCTCACAGTCACCCTTGGTCCTGGATAAATGCTGGAATAAACAAAATAAATAGCATTTCACCACACATGCAGGAGGATAAAATAAAAACCACATCGTGCTGGACCACAAATGCTTCAGGAAGTTCTGGCTGAATGTGAAAAGTACTTTGTAATGCTAATAAGTGTTTATCCTTTTGCTTCCTCGAATGTAATCAAATGTACAGGGAAAGCACATGGATTTTAGAGCTGCTGATTGCAGGATCAAAAGCTTTGTTATTAATTGCACATGAATCTGATGTTGTGGGGCCATTAAGATGTCAACTGACATCATTGTTTGCTTCCTTTGTTTACAGACCCTCCTTTTGGAGAGGGGGAATGCCCTTTGGAGCTCTCTTTCCTGTGGGTGGGTGATCCATGCCAGCAGGTTTGGGAACTGCCTGAGGCACAGGTAACCTGCCTCTCAGCACTTGGATTATGGAATAACCCTGAATTTGCTGCATTTGGTGTCAGCCTCCCCACAAATCCCAGCAGAAGGTGGGATGGTGGTGACAGGCATGGACCTTCTGGGATCCACTCCCCACACCAAACCGCAGCTGTCTGGTCCTACATCTTAATAAACAAGCAACAAAAAATCCCTGAAACATGGCCTGCTATAAACGGGCAAAGCAAACAGCTGGTCTTCATTTGAAAAAAGATGTGACATCAATTTCAAAATGAATCTGAAGATCTTCTTAATGCAAATATTTTTGGGGAAACAAAAAGCAGCTGTTTATTCTTCTTTATACCTATTAGCAGGAGAACAAAATCCAGGATGCTTGTATTTCTTCCGCTAAGAAAAACATCCTCTTGGCCTCGACATTCATTTAGAGCTCAAATTGTTTGGAATATATTGGGCTGCCTAATTCTGCTATTGCTGTGCTGCTCCAGCAAGCAGCCAGGAGCTGTTTCTGTTCAAAACTAAAAGCTGCTACAAGTAGAGACGTCTTTGAGTGCTTTGCATGAATTTTGTGACAGAAAGAGGGAATTTTAGAACAGGCATTTTCAAATTTATCAGTTCCAGCCTCCCAGCCCTGAGGAGCATTAGAGGTGTGGATCCCTGGAAAAAGAATGAATAATTTGGCCTGTGTAATGAACAGGTTTGCTTTTCTTAATTACTGCTGGGAGGCAGCTCGGAGGGAATGCAAGGACTGGAGGAGGGTCTGGGAACTGCAAAATAGGAGCCATTTGGGATTGCTCCATCTTAGAAAGCAGACTGAAGGAGGTTAGGCTGGGGAACAGTGGCAAAGAACTGAATTTGGACTCTCTCGAGCCTTCTGAGGTCATGTGGCTGCTCTTCCAGATGTGGAAGGATAATTTCCCACCTTTGGGGTTGTTTGGTACTGGCTCTGGATGCAGTTTTATGTGGTTTTGTGTTTCTGTGAAGTAATACAGCTCCTGTTCCTCCTGACATCGTTCTCCTGTTTTCTCTCCACCCTCCCGGGTTCATTTTGTTTCTGGCACCGCTGAGAGCTGTTCTGTGTGCATGGGCTCCATTGTGCTGCAAATTCGTGTGCTGCAGTCCTGCTCTGGCTGTAACCTGATCCATGGCCAAGCTGTGCACTTCCCTGGAAACTGGGGCTGTCTGTGACACCCAAGGGAAAGCTCTGTGACACCTGTGTCTGTGACACCTGTGTGTGTGACACCCAAGGGAAAAGCTCTGTGACACCTGTGTCTGTGACACCTGTGTGTGTGACACCCAAGGGAAAAGCTCTGTGACACCTGTGTCTGTGACACCTGTGTGTGTGACACCCAAGGGAAAAGCTCTGTGACACCTGTGTCTGTGACACCTGTGTGTGTGACACCCAAGGGAAAAGCTCTGTGACACCTGTGTCTGTGACACCTGTGTGTGTGACACCCAAGGGAAAAGCTCTGTGACACCTGTGTCTGTGACACCTGTGTGTGTGACACCCAAGGGAAAAGCTCTGTGACACCTGTGTCTGTGACACCTGTGTGTGTGACACCCAAGGGAAAAGCTCTGTGACACCTGTGTCTGTGACACCTGTGTGTGTGACACCCAAGGGAAAAGCTCTGTGACACCTGTGTCTGTGACACCTGTGTGTGTGACACCCAAGGGAAAAGCTCTGTGACACCTGTGTCTGTGACACCTGTGTGTGTGACACCCAAGGGAAAAGCTCTGTGACACCTGTGTCTGTGACACCTGTGTGTGTGACACCCAAGGGAAAAGCTCTGTGACACCTGTGTCTGTGACACCTGTGTGTGTGACACCCAAGGGAAAAGCTCTGTGACACCTGTGTCTGTGACACCTGTGTGTGTGACACCCAAGGGAAAAGCTCTGTGACACCTGTGTCTGTGACACCTGTGTGTGTGACACCCAAGGGAAAAGCTCTGTGACACCTGTGTCTGTGACACCTGTGTGTGTGACACCCAAGGGAAAAGCTCTGTGACACCTGTGTCTGTGACACCTGTGTGTGTGACACCCAAGGGAAAAGCTCTGTGACACCTGTGTCTGTGACACCTGTGTGTGTGACACCCAAGGGAAAAGCTCTGTGACACCTGTGTCTGTGACACCTGTGTGTGTGACACCCAAGGGAAAAGCTCTGTGACACCTGTGTCTGTGACACCTGTGTGTGTGACACCCAAGGGAAAAGCTCTGTGACACCTGTGTCTGTGACACCTGTGTGTGTGACACCCAAGGGAAAAGCTCTGTGACACCTGTGTCTGTGACACCTGTGTGTGTGACACCCAAGGGAAAAGCTCTGTGACACCTGTGTCTGTGACACCTGTGTGTGTGACACCCAAGGGAAAAGCTCTGTGACACCTGTGTCTGTGACACCTGTGTGTGTGACACCCAAGGGAAAAGCTCTGTGACACCTGTGTCTGTGACACCTGTGTGTGTGACACCCAAGGGAAAAGCTCTGTGACACCTGTGTCTGTGACACCCAAGGGACAGCCCTGTGTGACTCCTGTGTCTCTGACACCTGTGTTTGTGACACTCAAGGGAAAACCCTGTGTGACACCTGTGTCTGTGACACCCAAGGGACAAGCTCTGTGACACCTGTGTCTGTGGCACCCAAGGAAAAGCCCTTTTTTCACCCCATGCTGGCATTTCCAGCACTACAGCAAACCCAGGGAAGCACTTTTGGCTCCCCAGGGCCAAGTGTGCAGCACAGAGTCCCAAGGGAGGTTTTTGGGGTCCTGGCAATAAAAGTGGGGTGAAACACGGCCTGACCTGTTCCAAAAGCAGAGGAAGCTGTCGGTGCTTAACGAATCCTCACGTTTTCCTGGGATCATTGTCAGCTGTAGCTCTGAGATTCCCTTATTGAGGACAGGTCAGGAGCCTGGAATTGGGATGTCTTACCTCAAACCACTGTAATGGGAATTACTCCAGTAATAGAAAAAATGCTTTATTTTGGGACAGTCTGAGCAAAATAGAAATGTTTTATTAGTACATATACCGTGATTTGGGAGATCCTGCTCCAGTCACCTCCAGGAGACTCTGCCGTGGTGGGGGCTGGATTAGATGTCTCCTGAGGTCCCCGTGATGCTGTAAACCCCGAAGGCCTCCAGCAGGAACCGCCCAGCCCACACCGAGCACTTCCTTGCAGAAAGAATTAATCATTCCTCTTAAAGTAATTTACCATTTCCATTCAAAAAGAATTAATAACTATCCCTGGCCTTAAGCAGCTGGAGGCTGCTCATTCTTCCATATCACTTCAGACCTGGCAAATACGTTACCGGCATGTGCAAACTGCAGTTTACCTGTGTAAAACGCAGCTTTAGGCTTACGAGTTTGCTACTCGTTACCTCTCCCGGGCGGGGTTTGCCGTGCTACGCGCCAGCCTCGTGCTGCCTTTCATTTAAACTTAAACAAGTGCGTTTAAGGGTGTTAAAGCCGCGACGCTCCCGCGCAGCGGCTCCGGCCCGACTGAGGGCCGGCCGCGAGCGGCGGGCGCGCCCCCCGCAGGCCCCGCCCCCGGCCGCCCCGCCGCCGCGCATCCATACTTGGCGATGGCCGGCGAGCCGCGCGCTGATTGGCGGGGAGCGGCGCGGGGGCGGGGCCGGCGGCGCTGACCCGGATGTTCACTGCCGGGCGGCGGCGGAAGCGGACGGGCCGCGGCGTCGAAGCGACAGGGACGGACCGGGAGGCGCCGCCGTTCTACCGCCCCGCGCACCGCCCAGCCGACATGGTGAGAGCGGGCCGGCCCCGTGCGCCCGCCCGCGGCCCCGCCCTCGGGGAGGGGTGGCCCGGCCTGAGGGCGCTGCCGGGGGGGGCCGGGGCTAGCGGAGGCTCTGCCCGGCGCTCGCAGGGCCCGGGGGCTCGCCCGGGCCGCGCTGCCCGGTCAGTGCCCGATCCCGGCCCCGGTCCCGGGCGGCGCTCCCCGAGGGAAGGATGTGCAGTTAGGAGCGGGGCCGCCCGTGCGGCTCCCGTGCCCCAGGGCAGGCTGTGTCCTGTGCCCGGCCCTGCGGGGAGCCGGGCCGGGGCTGCAGCCCCACGGCTCCCGGCTGTGCTCCCGCACCGCGCTCGAACGGTGCTGTCCCCGCAGTGTCCTCAGCCGGGTGCCGTGATCCCTCTCGCTGTTTCCCCAGTGGATTGGCCCGGGGCGCAAACCCTTTCGATTTCGCTGCGGTGCTGTGCAGAGGGAGCACCTCCAGGAGCTGCCCTGCCCTGCTCCCTGTCCGGGCTGTTCCCGAGCCGCCTCGGGCACGCAGGGACTCACATCACTTTGTGCTCTTGGGGTTTGTGATTCAGGTTTTCCAGCGTGACAATTCAACAATGTCCAAATGCGTTTAGTTCACAAAAGAGCAGCCCAGAGCCTGGCTCTGCAGCAGGGTAAAGGCTGTTTAACCACACAAGTGTAATCCTTTACTTCTTGCCTTCATCCATAGGAATTTCAGAGGCAATGCCTTGTGTTCTTTCTCTGGAGCTGGAGCCACCTGTATCGTGCAGGATAAAGATCTTTAAAGTCAGGTGAAAGGTGAAGAGCAGTTATGATCAAAGTTCTGTTCCGTGTTGGTTCAAACAAGAGCAGGTGCTGGACCTGGGTCCTGGCAGCACGGAGCATCTTGCTCCAGCTGTGTGCCCAGTTCTAACACACTGACATCTCTGTGTGCAAGACCTGACTGTGGAATCTCAAACTGGGATTCCAGCAAACTGCCCTAACTTATGGCACTGCAAAAATTATCACAGGACAAGAGTTCAGAGAAGACGAGGAGGCTTCATGGAAAATAACAACAGTGGTACCACCTTCTTGGAAGGGGATGTAAAACTGTGCTGTTAGGAAATCCAGTCAGGATTTAAATGTAGCTGTGCCAGTTGTTTGGAGGAGGTACAGCACAAGTCCTTTGGAAATTTTCTGAATGTTAGCAGGCTTTGCTGCCTTCTGGATTTTTCTTGTTTAGTTGTGGAGACCACTGGGCATAGGAGGAATTTGATCAGCACTTCCAAGACTTTTGTGGTGGTTTCCAATGTTGAGTGGACTCCAGGGATGAACTTGCAGCCTCCAGTTTCAACTCGTGTGCAATCCCAGTGTTCAGGGTTCTTCCAGGAGCTTTGCTTTTGGGGGTTTGAGACCAGAAATGGAGCCTGGAAAGGATGGAATGGCCCTTCCATTGCAGAGAGCAGTTGGTGTGGGGCAGGATATTGGGTGAAACCCCTTCCTGGCACCACAGGGTTACCAGTGTCTGTGCAGAGCAGAGCTGGGAACCTTTGTCTCCTTGGAGAGCTCGGAGCTGTGCCCACATTTCAGTCAGGTGCTCAGGGAAACAGGGCAGGGCAACACATGAAGCTTGAAAACTGCCTGGATGGATGGTGTCTCCTGTGCTAAAAATAAATGGAATGCACTGTCCAGGGCAAAGCAGGACTTGGGAGAGTGGATCTGCTGAGATTTCTGGAATTGTGGGTTGTGAATGGACAGATTCCAGTTACTCTTTGTAAAAATAAAACCCTTCATTTCCAGGTTATGTAAACTGGCCTGATCATGTTAGCAAGGATTTCTTCTGCTATGCAACTCTTGAGGAAAAGAGGGCAGTTTTGGCAAAATTTATGATTTAATCATCCATAAATTCAGACTGTCTAGTGTAGTGCTGGCTGTGCATCACCCATCTAGGATTTGTGAGGCAGAAAGGAGCAGTGAAGCACAGCCCAGGGTGTGTGATGGGACAGTGACACCACCACAAACCTCGTGTGCTGCTCAGGGTCACTGAGATTTTCTGGATAGGAGCTGTTTGTCTGGAATCAGAGCCCATCTGTGACCTGGTCATGTCCCTTTTGGACCTCCACCATGTGCTGTGGAGGTGTGGGGACATTTTCAGTACCCACAGCAAGTCCTTTGCACCTTGTGCCTTTTGAGAAACACCAACTTCAGCTGTTTTGTAGAGTCTGTGTTGTATTAGGCAAGCCAAGTGTGTGAGCTGAGCTAAATGTTATCTTAAACGGCAAATTCCCAAAATAATCAAGTCAGAGGATATCACTGGGAGAGGGAATGCTGCCATTGCAGTGATGCTTTGTCTGTGGTTTATTGGGGAGGGGAGAGCGGTCAGCAGCTGAAGTTGTTCAAACAGGATTTCCTCATATGGTAAATATGTGTGCTGATAGGGGCCTAGTTCACATCTGGGAGTGAAACAGAATGAAAGTGCAGCTCAGCTCTTTTGGGGGACTATTTTTAGTCCTTATTAGTGGAGTTGAGTTGAGAAATTACTTTCTTTGGAAAAATGACAATGCTGCCCTTCTCAGTTTCTGCTTCCACAGCTGTCAGCTTTGCTTTCCATCCATCCCTTGACCTCTCTGGGTGGAGGATGGCTGGGGAGCTCGGGTTGCTCATCATCATCCAGCACTCCCCAGTGCTCTCTACTGGTCCAGTTTGCCATTGGTGCATCAGGGAATGTGGAATGGTTTGATCTGGAAGGGACCTTGAAGCCCATCCCATTCCATCCCTGCCATGGCAGGGACACCTTCCACTGTCCCAGGCTGCTCCATGCCCCATCCAACCTGGCCTTGGGCCTTGGGCTTCCAGGAGTCCAGGGGCACCCCACCCTCCCAGGGAACAATTCTTTCCCAAGATCCCACCCATCCCTGCCCCCTGGCAGTGGGAGCCATTCCCTGTGTCCTGTCCCTCCAGCCCTTGTCCTTGCCTGGTGCCATCCTTCCTGTCAGCTCCTTCAGGCAGTCACCCCAAAGGCTTAAAATTCAAATTTAGACTCAGGATACTTCTGTAGACAGTGCCAGTACCCGTGTTTGTATTTGTGCCTGCCCTTTGTGGGGATGTTTGGTCACATCCAAGGAGCTCCTTACCCTGCAAGGTAAACTTGTAGAGAAGTGTTTTGCTGCAGTTTGTCCCCTTTGAGCTGGTTCACACTGAGATAGACCCACCTCAAGGTAAATAAAACTATTTTCAGTGCCTGCTGAAGGGAGCAATTTTACTGGAGAAGTGTGAGGTTCTGAAAGGTGCCTGTGCCTAGTTTAGGGCTGTGGAATCCCAGGGTAGTTTGGGTTGGAAGGACCTGTGAGTGCCATGTAGTGCAGCCCCCTCTGTGAGCAGGGACACCTTCACTAGGGCAGGCTGCTCAGAGCCCTGTCCGTGCTCAGCCCTCTGTTTTACCCCACTTTGATCCAATGTGCTTTAATGACTTTTCTTTCCAGGTGAAGGAGATGATTACAGAAGTAGAAGATACTCAAAAGAGATGCTGGTCTTCCATTTTTATCAATATGTTTTAGTCAATCACTTTATAAAGTGATTCTTAAACTGATTTTTAAAGTGCAATATAAAATTTCCTGTATTCCCAGTGATTCATGCTGGAAGTCCTGAAGAATTTAAAAAGCCTCAACCAAATAAATCTTTGTGTCTCTCCTTAATGCAAAGAGAAAGGACCAAACCTTGTGTATGCTTCAGTTCTTCCTAAGCCTTAACCATTTCCAGGAATAAGGGCAAAAAAAAACTCACTTAAAAACATGGGATTTAAATTTGAATTTCTTTGCAGCACAGAGGCTTCATCCCTGAAGGAGTAATTAATATGTCTGACCAACACAAGCTTTTCCCAGGCTTCCTGCTCTCTCTAGTTGGGCTTTAGCCCAAATCATGTTTGCTGATAGGTTGTGCTAATTAAAAAGCTTCTCTAACTTGAAGATCAGGAGCGCTGGGCAGTGTAGTGGGGGTGTGGCCACTTCAATCTGGAGTATAAACTGATCTTTTTCTTCATCTTTGGTGTGATGCTTTCTTAAATATTTAATGGTCTGTGACTGAGGTGTTCCTGTGAGAACTGACCAAGTACTGTAGTGGAAACCTGGTTAAGGTGTGACTGAAACCCTGCGAGGGTGTGAAACTCTTGTGACTTGAGCTGAATAATTCAGGGGTCCTGGACCTGATCCAGTGGCCAAAATTCCCTTCTTAGCCCTATGTCCTAAAGCAGGATGGCAGCAGATGTTGCAAACAGGCTGTCCTGGGGAGGTGGGGCTCTTGCCTGTGTGGTAGATGAGATTTTTGCTTTTGAGACTTCCTTGGTGTGGCACGAGGGGGAATGTGGTTTTGAGGAAGTTTTAAAGCTCTGGTAGTTGATCTGAGAGGGTTTATCATTTGAGGAAGAGGCTTTACTTGTTTCTCAGCTAAATCATTGTAATTCTCCTCTGGAGTGCCAAATGCAATGGAATCCTGTGTTTTTGATGGAGTGGAGTTTTGAGTGAGGAATTGAAAGCAGGCTCTATTCTGTCGGTTTGTGCCCAAAATTATCTTTTATTTAGAGTGACTTCAGTTGCATTAGGTAATACCTGGTGCTGTGTTTCCTGGAGTGGTGGTCTGAGCCTTGGCACCAAGCAGTAGATTCATTTCCTTGTGTTATCTGGTGTTGCTGTTTTGCCCTCCCTCCCTCTTGTAGGCTCTACAAGGAAATATGCAGCTTGCTTTGAGCTCCTGCTTTGTGCCACACCTTCCA